CCCTTCTCTCCTCCTCCTTCTTCTTCTTCTCTCCTCCTCCTCCTCCTCCTTCTCCTTTTCTCCTTGTCATTCTCCTCGTTCTCCTTGTTCTCCTCCTTCTCTCCGCCACCTTCTCATCCTTCTTTCCTTCTCTTTCTCCTCCTTCTTAACCTTCTCTTCACAACCTTCTCTCCTCTTTCTTCTCCTCCTTCTCCTTCTCTCCATATCGTTCTCCTCCTTCTCTTCCTTTTCGTTCTTCTCCTCCTTCACCTTCTCTTCCTTCACCTTTACTAGTAACACACGGAAGTTAGCACATACTACGATTTTTCTAGGAGCAGTAAAACGAGGTTGCGCTAGTGTTTTGCGGAGATATGGGCTTAAATATGCATTTTTAAATAAATTATTTGATTAAAATGATACCAATCTACTAACCACTAGAACTACTGGCAGACAAATGTTCTAACAAGCTCATTTAAAAGAGGCTACATTCCTTAGTTGTTTAAAATTGCCCCCAAAATAAGCGAGGAATTGAAGAACCAAATTCTGACAATTAAGTCCATGCCATTAAATCTAAATTTTGTATGAAAAATTAAGTTTGACCTCAAGACTATAAGATGTTTGCATAATTCATGAAGCACACTTAGTTACTCAATTGATCGCTGATTTTATGGAGGAGTACACTGTGGTTTAGAGACACGTCAAAAAGGGTGTGGAAGCGTTTGTGCACCGAATAGACAAGTTACCTCATTATCTATGGAATTGTAGCCTATCCTATTTGGACGCTCTTTCTCTGGTTGCCGATACGAAGATCTGAGGGAGGTCGGATCTCTAGTCCAGCCCATATGAGAAACCTGTTTGGCGGAAAGTTTAGATGAATTGCAACGATATCGTGAGGCTTACTCATTTCATTTTGAGAAACTTCATTAACATTCCTAAAATCACCTTAAGCTAATCAGAGTGATTAAGTTTCCTATTTAACAATTACTGATACTTTCAAAACATAATCACATAAAATAACAAAGAAGAATCTAGGTTGTGTAGGAATGTTTATAGGAAAACCGACAACTATACATTATAATAAATTTTTGTTTCATAATACTATAAAAGAGGATGACGGAAAAAAATCACGTAATCCAAGCTAAGAAGATTTTTTGTTCAAAACACTTCCTTATGTTTGCATTCTACCGGGTTTTGGAAAATTTTTCTACATTCTTGAGGCAATGGGACGTTATAAGAATATATAAAGGGCGTGCAAAGTTTTCCCTAATCAGGCCTTCTCTTTGACACTGCTTGGTCATACGTTTTTGTGCTCATGTGATTGTGCCTATTTGGGGGAGACCTACTGTCCATACATAAGGGGATGTCTGTTAACAAAACTGCATAATCAGGTTTGTGCGTCCAGAAATCTGAACTGGCCGAAAGCATGACGAATAAAGAATACCAGATTTATTGGTTTAAAGACTAATGATTTTGACGGGAAGGGAAACCTATAAAGAACGACGAAGATTTGCTGGTTAAGAGAGATTAGCAAAAGGACTGACCTTCTGGATAGAAAGAAAAAGTGCGATAAATTGAATAGGAACTACTCCTGGCTGTTGAATAGGATGAGAGGGAGAAGATGAAATTGAGCATGAAAGGAGAGGATATGTTTGTGCTAGAACCTAATTAGAACTTGAATTAACATTGTAATAGCACACTTAGGCAAGAGGAGTAAAAAGCAGCTGTTCAATTCATTAGATGCCATTGAAATGTCAAAATCGGAGTATAATATGTATTTTAGTTCTACTCTGTTACAAAACTATCAGCGAGCTATGAATAACAATTTAGTTGCCTTAAGTCGTTTTTCCCACAATGGCATGAGTAAGCTCCACTTACTGAAGAATTTCCTTCCGAAAGGCTTTCTTATTCAGAATAGACTGTAGATCCCACCTCGCCCCGGTTTATAAACACCCACAACAGGATTCGAAGCCAATAGTAGTGCATGCCATATGGCACAAGGTTATCCGTCCCCCACACAGCCAAAATTGGCAGTGGAATGTACACCAGACATATGTGAAATTTAGAAGAAATCAGATTAAATATAATTCATATTTTATTATGGGATTATCGATAAGATAAGCATGCGGTTGGACTGTTTTTAAAATTTAATTACTCATTTTCGT